GACGATCTATAGTGCCCGACGTGGACAGCTATACCGAGCACCACCGTCGTCGTACCCATAAGGCAGAACACCCAGCTCGCGATGGGCAGTTCACGCCAAGGGCGAATCGTCCCTACGGGCTCCACGCCCGACTGAGCAACCTCGCTCCGAAATACCCGACATTCCATCAAGAATAACGGGACATCTACAAGGGTCAAAACAAAATCTCTCCCCTCGAGCGAAACACTCAAGCAACCCCGGCCAACCGAAATTGGGTCGAGGTTGCACACAAACGGAGTCGATCATAGTCGCTCGCCAAATCAAAGCCACCTACGGGCACTCATCGGGCCCGGGACGAGCTAAATTCATACAAGCATGTCAGTTCATACAAGGGCAGAAAATCCAAAATAAACAAGGTATAAACGCCCGAAGGCAACAAAGTAATATTAAACCGACCAAGAAGGCCGGCGATGTTCATACATGCAATAAACGGGCACGCAGGCCCAAAGAATACAAATTCAAATATCAAAGGCACGCAGGCCCGCTATCCAAAGAATACAATTCAAACTTCTACATTATCACCACCGTCGACGCTGGGAGAGTCGGGCGGGGGAATGATCGCGCCACCGACAACCCGATGGGTGTGCCCGATGCCCTCGGTGACCAGGCCGGGATTTAGCAATGAGAGCTGGTCGACTGCAGAGTTGAACCCGTCTTCCAGGGCACCGACTGCGTCCTCCTCGAGGTTCCGGATATGGGCAATGAGCTCAGCCCGACTCTTCAAAGCCATTAGGTCCTCGGGCTCGTCTTCGGCGGGTTGTTGGACAGCATTCAGCTCCTCAACCTGCTTGCCCAGGCGTTCGACTTCAGCAGCCAAACGATCCCTATCAGTCCGGAGCAACTCCCCTTCCTCGGTCAACCGCCCCGACTTCTCTTTCTCCAAGGTCAGCGCCTCCCTCTCGGCGTCAAGTATCACGGTCTGCTCTTGGAACATCCCCTCGGAGCGTTCCAGAGCGACCTTCAACTTCCTTGAGCTCGCAGCCAAGGCCGCCTTCTCCCGCTCGAGCTCTTCAACACGAGCAGCATCCCCTGCGTCTTCAGACAATACCAGAGCCATTTCAGCCATTTTAACCAGCCCGTCCACGCTGGCGACCAGCCGCGACTTCCTCTCCTCCTTAGTCATCCTCTTTATAGCCTCGGCTTCATGAACGACCACGGTCGGAGGGAACCGCTCAAAAAAGCCCTCCTCCTCGAAGCAAGGGGGGAAGGCAAAGGATTGAACAGGGCCGGTATCTTCCCCGACATTCGAACCGCCTTCCACGCGGGTCCTTTTCCTCTGGGTCAAAATGGCACTGGCATCAATCTCCTCGACATCCGGATCCGACGCTGCTCCCGAGCTCGACGTCGAATCCACCCTCACCGGCTGAGGAACGGTCGTGCTCGGCGGTGGTCCCATTCTCGTCAATTGCGGGGCAGGCACGACCTTCTTGTTTCGCCTCTGGCCGGTTGACAGTTTCAGGAGCCTCTCATGTCGGCTGGCCATCGTACCTGCACGAAGTAAAAGAAAAGTCAGTATCGAGCAAAACGCGTAAATAAATGACGAGTAAAGAATTTCAAACAAACAACCTAACAGGCGGGCTGCCTGCCTATAGGTCGAGCATTCCACCAACGCCTTGGTGTCGATCGGGCGAGCCTCGAATGTCGGATAACCGTCCTTGTCGAGGATGTCATTCCCTTCCCGTGTGACCCACTGGGCGGGATGAAAACCGTCGACAAAGTTGCAGAGAGCCGCATACGCCCGTTGATCCTCCGTGCACATGTCCCCGACTGCAGTATGGAAGTAGCCGGTTCCATGCTGGAAGTGTCGAGACATCCAGTACACCGGGAACTTAGCCCGACGTCCTAACACGGGGCTCCCGTCATCGGTCAACATTGCTTCCCCGTCATCATCGCTGACCGGCCCTTCCTCCTCGAAGAGGGAATCCACAGCAGAGTCGGTGATAGGGTGGACCACATACCACTTATCCTTGAACCCCCTCACAGAGTCCATGTACATCCTAAACAGTCTCCTCGACTGCTTCAAGGACACCCAGCTATGCTTCCCTCCTCGGGACTGACGCTGTAGGTGGAAGACCCTAAAGAAGAGAGGGATGGTCGCTCCTATCCTTAAGTAGCGGCACGTCAGCTCAAACGCCCGGATGAAGGCGAGAGAGTTAGGGTGTAGCTGGGACGGGGCCAGCTCCAAATGCGTAAAAACCCCGGTCTCAAAGTCTGTGAAAGGCAGCCGCAGACCCAAGTCTTTAAACGCGATCTCGTACATCGCAAAGCTGTAGTCCGGGTACATCGAACAAATTCTGGCGTTGGTCGACGGCAGCATGACCTCGAAATTCGGTTGAAAGTCGGGCTGGTCCTGCCCCCCTTCGATAGCGATGAACGGATGTCGGTCATCCCGACTGTATATCGACGCCGTCCCCCGAGGCTCGGCACCCACCCATTCCAGCGATGGGTCGGTCACAGTGTCTATAAGGTTGGCCGACTCGTCGGCACTTTGTTCTTCGCTGTCACGACGACCTGAGGAGCTCGGCTCATCCGCCATGGTTACCTGCAGAGCACGGGAAACCAATCAGATTGAGCATGAAGCCCTATGCTCGACATAATCATGTCGTCCATACACTACCACAAGTCCATTTTCACAAGTGGATGCCTCCCCGACTCTCCTGAATCCAGTGTTCTTCCACAAACCAACTGCGCGGCCACTCTTCAAGCACGTCGATCCGGGGTATGAACATGGCGAGCCGCATCATGAAGCCCACGGCCACGACCATAAACATACCGGGCACCGGCATGAGTCAGGCGCCCAGGATCATGACGACCCCGGGCAGCTCTGAAGTTTTTCACCTAAAACTAAGAATATGTCGGCCATAAGTATGCGTTTGCCGGTCCTAGACATAAATCTGTCGGGCAAAACACGAGTTTACCGGGCTAATCCCACATTAACGGTCCTAAAACATCTACAATTTCCTAGAATCATGCATTCTAAAACAAGAAAATAAAGAAAATGGATCACTTACTTGGATCAAAGTTGGGATTTGGCTAAGAAATGAAGAATCTGAGACGGGAAATCACGGTTGGAGAGAGTGTTGAGAGTTGCAACGAAGAGAGCACGGAGAACAGAAAGCGTATTATGGGGCCCAAAGACCCTATTTATAGGGATGACGTGGAATACCAAACGTCACCTCGTTCAGCCACGGACTCCGTCTCCTCGACGCACTGCACCCAACGCAATGATGGCCCTACCCCCCTAGGGTGGCGGCACAATTCCCAAAAGATGCCTCGCGTGCCCGACCAACGTGCCCGGTACGGATCCTTCACACATCCATCACCGAGGACGTTCCCGAGCACGACACGAGGAGGCCCCTCGAGGGCCCGCGCCTCCATTCCGGGCACGAGACCTCAGCGACTGAACAACTTGGTTTCAAGTCATGGCTCCTCGCAAAGGAACCACGACTTGGGGGGCTCCTGTTCTGGACTGGGCCCGACAGGCCCAAAAGCATTACTAAGGCCCAGTCCAATGGGACTCACTAAGGACCACAATGGGCAAAGGCCCAATCCAATGGGACTCACTAAGGACCGCAACGTCCATGCCCGACACCCTGATGTCCACCTCGACATCTCAGTGTCCAGCCCACGCGACGAAGCCATGCTCGACAGACTGCCGTCCAGCTCTATGCCCTGGCTTCCAGCTCGACAATCGCTGTCCAGCTCGGGGTCTTGGCGTCGAGCTCGACACCATGCTGCACTGCTCGACATGGACTCGAGCTACCTTGCTAGGGCAGACTCAGTCACCATTGCCCCAACGATACTCCGTAAAGACCGCGTCTCTGTCCGCCCGCACTTCACGCAGCACCTCCAGGAAGGGGACCACGTGCTGATCCCCACTACCCACGTAGAACCTGGCAGTTCCTCCATTGGGCCAAATCCGCCCAGCCCAATGAAGGAACCTTGGCCCAGCGCTGGGGGCTATAAATACCCTCTGTTTCCAGAGGGTCAGGTAATCATCATTTCTAACCTCAACTCTATTATCTGCTAGTACTCCCACTGACTTAAGCATCGGAGTGCCTTGCAGGTACCCCCCCTCCTCGTTCAAAAAGCCTTCAGCTCGGAGCAGCCGTGACGGTCCAAACCTTCTGATCAGGTCAGATCAGTATTCATTAACCTTTTCTATATTTAAATATTATTAATATTTAAATAATTTTATTAAACCAACTTAATGGATAACTTTAAAGAAAAATCAGATGCATTTATTATATTATTAGGAAAAAAAGTATTTAAATAATATAATACCTCTACAGTTTATTCATTTAGCATCTTACCCGTTTTTGAATTGGTTAATTGAATAAACACCTCTTTATTTTATTTATTTATGAATATCCATTAAACTACTTGTGTATGCTAGTGGCTGATTTTATACACGAATAATACAAATATGAATTTTTCCATCCTTAATAATGATAATACATCTATTCAATAAAAAAATAGTAAAAGACTAGTTTAGTCAAAGTAATATTAATTGAGATACTATACCAAAAAAACACATACAAAAGTAACAATTATGAAACAAAATTAAAAAGAAAAGAGTAATAATTAATAAAAAAAAGCAAAGGAGTAATCTGCAGAACATTCTTCACCTCCATTCTTACTTTCTCTCTCTCTCATTTCAACCCAAACACCAAACAAAATTATCATTTCCTTTTTTTTTCTCCATATTTGAATTCACAAATTCCAAACCCTAAGTTACTCTCTTCGTGTTCCTGATCTCAATCAATCCCTAAATCATCGAATTCGGGTTGGTTGCTCCAATCCAACATCACCATGCCTAGAATCACACAACTCGAAAGGGTTTTTCTTTTCCCTTAATCATCATCATCATCATCGTCGTCATCATCATCATCTTCATATCAGGTTTCGTTGTTTTTCAGATTCGAAAAAGTGTTTCGTGTTTTCATTCTGTTTGATGAATTATGTTCAAAAAGGTTTTCAGTAAAATCCCTAAAAAGTCCTCAAAAGGCTCTGACAATCGTGACCAAGGTGGAAACTCTAGAAGCCATGGTGTTGTAGCATCAAAAAACACTGATAATGTTACCCCATCAGGTAGTAGCAAAACCGGTAATGTTTCTTCTTCTTCTTCCTCTTCCTTAGGACAAGGACAGTATCATAATAATCATGGTAATAAATCTTCGTTACCTATAAACGAGAATTCCAATGGAAATTTCAATTCCTATGAAGCATTGCCTGCGTTTAGAGATGTTCACAATTCTGAGAAACCGAGTTTGTTTATAAAGAAGCTTAGGATGTGTAGTGTTGTTTTTGACTTCACTGACCCTACTAAACACCTCAAGGAAAAAGAGGTTAAAAGACAGACTTTGGTGGAGCTTGTTGATTATGTTTCTTCTGTTAATGCTAAGTTTACTGAGAATGTTATGCAAGAGGTTGTGAAGATGGTGTCTGTAAATATATTCAGAACACTTAGTCCTCAGCCGCGTGAGAATAAGCTTATTGATGGGGTTGAATTGGAGGAGGAGGAGCCTTCGATGGATCCTTCTTGGCCTCATTTGCAGATTGTGTATGAGCTTTTTCTTAGGTTTGTTGCATCGCCTGAGCTGGATGCGAAGTTGGCTAAGAGGTTTATTGATCAGTCTTTTATTCTGAGGCTGCTTGATTTGTTTGACTCCGAGGATCCTAGAGAGAGGGAGTATTTGAAAATGTCCTTGCATCGGATTTACGGCAAGTTAATGGCGCATCGTCCTTTCATTAGGAAATCGATTAATAACACCTTTTTGAATTTTGTTTTTGAGACGGAGAAGCATAATGGGATTGCCGAGTTCTTGGAAATTCTAGGGAGTATCATTAATGGTTTTGCGTTGCCTTTGAAAGAAGAGCATAAATTGTTTCTGGTTCGGATATTGATTCCGTTGCACAAACCAAAGTGCTTAGCAATGTATCATCAGCAGTTATCTTATTGTGTTACTCAGTTTGTGGAGAAAGATTGCAAGCTTGCTGATACAATCATTAGGGGCTTATTGAAGTACTGGCCAATAACAAATAGCTCAAAAGAAGTTATGTTCCTAGGTGAGTTGGAAGAAGTCTTGGAAGCAACACAACCCCCGGAATTCCAGCGATGTATGGTGCTGTTGTTTCGCCGTGTTGCTCATTGTTTGAATAGCCCCCATTTTCAGGTATTAAATTTTCAATGATTTCCTCATGTTCATTTTCTCTTACCCTATACAGTATATTATAAAATAATAATTTTCAGAAACAACAAAATACTGTACCATATGATTCATTTCCTCATAGGTGAGAAGAATTAACATAAGAATTGCCTTAAAATACATACTCACAATTTAAGACTTCAGACAAGACCTCCCTAAACTAGGGAAGATCACATCTGGTTATTTGTTGTAATCGACTAGATGTCATATTAAAAATTACGATATATAAATCTATGTTTTATATCAATCGCCACTTCAATTTATAGAAAGCTGCTAAACATGCTAGGATGATTAAGTTTTTAATCACCTTTTACTCCAAATCCTGCCTGGAAAAAGTTTTTGAAAAATTGAAAAATAAAAACATTTAATCTTGATGCAACGGAGAGGGGGGATCTCCCATCTCCCTGTGTTATTAATTTCTGTTTTGTCAATTAAGTAAGTTAAAAGCTTACGTGGTTAGGAGATGGCCCAATAATGCAACATCAGACAAACCTCTTAAATCACTCTTAATGATTGGCATATTGTTTTCCTTGGCCTTCTCTTACCTTTAACTATTGGGCTATTCTTCGTCTGATCTACTTACTTATTACCTATCATTGGTTTTATAGGTCTTCTCTATCTATGCCCAAACCACAAAAGATGAATCCTACTTTCTTCTCGATTATGGATGTTATCTCAAATTTCTTTCTAATAATTGTCTTTGTGATTCTATTTATTTGAGTGTAACCACTCATCCAACATAACATTATTTCTTTACGTCATTAAATTTGCTTTCTTTTCGGGTCTTCCATTTCATCTATTCTACTTGGATCCCATTGTTTCCATTGTTGGGGATCACAAATATGTAAAACCAACTACAGTGGAAAATTCCCACCAATGATTAAAGGCAAAGAGCACATTTCTGAGTTTTGAAATAATGCATTTGTTGCTTAAAAGAACCTTCAAGATGGTGCTGGAAGTCACAATAGTCCTTGCGAATTGAATTTCCTTGTATCTGTTTTGTTGTGCTAGCTAACGATACACATCAGGTCAGAAACACAACCGGGGTGTTAAGTACATATGTATCACCTTAGACATACCTATTTAAACATATATACCCCTGCTGCTTTCTGACTTAGGGTCAGCAAGCTTAGCGTTACGAGCCCAATCTTAGAGATATTCAAGCTCACTCCCCAATGAACAATCATACACAAAATAGTAAGTTCAGTATCTCATATTGACTCATTTCAACATGGTCATGGATTTTACCGTCTTACTCTATTGAGAGCGCTAAAGATATCACCGTTATGCATGATGGATTGATCTCATTTAAAGCTTTCATGTTACACCAACAAACATCACCCTTTTTCTCCCTCACTTAGTATAATGGAACCAATGTACTTGCAACATGAGACTTGTGATACGGTATGTCTACAGTCTCTAATTTCATCCTTTGCATTGGAATATGTTTGTTCTTAAAAGTGTTTTATAAAAAACTTAGGAGGTTAGGCAAAAAACGTATAAGAAATTTATATTGATGTGTCTGACAGGTCTAGAATCACCTCCACGAAGTTAGTTATGGTTGGTTATATAGTACAGCCCTTCATAGCTTAGGAAGGTTTATTCTGGTATCTTAAAGTGTAAGCCTGTGTCTTGAATCTAATTCATGTGTTGGACTTGGTCCTAGACTTCAGTAAAAGTAAATGAAAATTGCATCATACGTGAGTATCTTTTCCCTAGAGGAACGGAGGGAAGGGATTATTTTAAATTAAATCTGTTTGGTTCAATTATTTGCAGGGAAAGGGAGGGGAGCAAAATCCCTTCTAAGCCAATTTTAGCTCCTCTCCAAAATGAGGGGATTTGGAGGGAAGATAATATTTGTTTCTTTTTATGACGTATATACCCTTTGATTTAATGTCACCTTAAATATTACAATGGTGAAGAATGTAATTTTCACTTTCTCTACATAAAAATCTTTCCGTTTTCCTCGTCCAACCAAATACAAAAGACTTCAAACCTCTCCCTTCCCATCCCACCCCATCTGTTGAACCAAACAAACCTTATATGTTCATGTGAGGCAACACCTGTTAGTTTTTATCTTTTCATTACGAGCAATTGTTGACTTTCTGTTCATTTTGTCATGGGCTTACTAGGCAAGAGAATGAGTGCAGCTGTCTGATGATTTTCCCCTTAGAAAATCTGTTTGTGAATATAAATAATTAGGCAGACTACATTTTGCCTGCAAGTCATCTATTACTTTATGGCAGAATTTTGAATGTTGATATTTTCATCAGAAGAGGTGAAAGCGATCATGAGTTTTGTTGAATAATTGCAATATTTAACAGTCCTATGACTATAAGAAACAATTGATGTTTTATGAGTATATGTTACTACATTTATATATTGGCACTTGGAGTTAGTCAAATCTACTCACAAAATTAAGTTGTGAATTTGTAATCCACTAGTAAATAGTGTATCTTGGATTTAGCTTTCGTATATCAAATTTAGAAGTTAGATTTGTACTCATTATTACACAGTGCAAATACGTGGATAACGGGCCGTTAATACGACAGCAGGATTCTGATTAGTTAATCCTTATCATACATGGTGTCATTTTGCTTGAAACTATGAAGATGACAACTCTGATCCAACTTATTGAATTTTTAGAGCTTCCAGACTTCTGTCAATTTTCTCTTCTGAAATATTTCTGTCTAAAAAACAAGATAGTTTCATCCTTTTATACAGCCCATGTTTAGTTTTTAACCCTCCCCTAAGCCTTCTAAATGTAAAGAACGAGGCACATGCAGAGATACTAGATTGTGCTAATTTCATTTTAGATGTGTTTGCCTGATTGGGAATTGCTTCATAGCTTTGAACTAATCAAAATATTTTTCTTCATCTTTTGAGTGGATATTTGTGTTGCTTTCTTTATTGAAATGCGCCAAAGTCTTGGTGTAAGTGCACTGCAAGTTGTCTCAATTGTTCATGTAATGCTAAATAATTATTACAAGCATCAATTGAATGATATTGTGTTCTGAGAAAGTTCTAATGTTGGGCTAACAAAAATCAAGCAATAGTTTATCAGTTCCATTGTAACCAATGGAGCTGCAGTTGCAATGCTTAGTTCTTGTTTTTATATATCGTTTTTGTTTCAGGTGGCAGAAAGAGCTCTGTTCTTGTGGAATAATGATCACATTGTGAACTTAATCAAACAAAACTGCAAAGTGATACTTCCCATCATCTTTCCTGCATTAGAGAAAAATACTAAAACTCATTGGAATCAAGCTGTCCACAGTTTGACTTTAAATGTTCAGAAGATTTTTCAGGATCTCGATCCTGATCTGTACAAAGAATGCTTACAAAAGTTTGAGCAAGACTCGTCAAAGGAAGGTGAAGTGACAGCAGGACGCGAAGCCACGTGGAAACGTTTGGAAGAGGTTGCCGCAAAGAAAGCTGCAGCTAATGAAGCTGTGCTTATTAGTAAAACACTCCCCCGCAAATCTGCCGGTTAGATAGGCACGAAACTTGTATTCTGTTATATAGCTTCATTTTTTAAGAATTTTATTTATAGTATTTTTTGGCACTTTGATGGGTTGGCCAAGAAAGGCAATTTCTGGAATACATTGATATTCACTTCCTTTAGGAATTGAAGGCTATTGATTATTAGTAGTAGCAGTGGATAATGTTATATTCACGACAACATCCAAAGCTTAACTTACTACATATAGCTTATGCTTCTGTAGCCTGAGTTGACACTCAGCAGATTTGAGAACTTTTGTTTTTAATGCATTTTCAATGAACATTTCGTTGAAGAGTAATAATAGTCCTTAAACACAGGCCAAAACGTTGGGCTGCAAAGTCTCTTCATCTTCATATACAAGAACATGAGCATCGCAGATCCGAGAATATGAGTATTAATTCATTTGAAGATTTATCATTTTTAGTTTCAATGAGGTTGAATTTAAATGGTTTTTGATAATTTTATCAATTTAAATGAATACACTTTTTGTCCAAAAAAGAAAAAAAGAAGTGAGTCAATATTAACTCACAATTTTTTTGTTCATATTCTTTATATACAATTTTTTGACAATAAGTAGTTAGAACTTATTGTCAATTTTCTTGCTTTACATCCTCAACACGTTAAAACCTAAACCCCTTAAGTTAACTGAGAAACGGCAGGCAAAATATTACGAAGTCAAAATACACACGTTTATAAATATCAAATAAACTGGAAATGGTAATTAGCCAATATTGCATGGGATCCTATAACTTAATTAAAAGTTTAAGAAATGTCTTGTTATCTTATTTATTTATTTGTCATATTAGTCTTGTATTCTATTTTATTTATCTATTACATACCAATTGTCTTTATTTTAGGGGTGATTTATTGCACCCTAGTATTTCTCTCAACTCTTATGAATTTTTGAAATTGCCATTTTCTTAAGTTTTGAATTTTAAAATCTAGTTCATAACAACTCAAGTTCACCTGAAAACACATTCAATGCACAAATAGACATGTTGGAATATTGTTCTCTGAATACTTTAAACATATATTAATATTAATATCCAAATGCACACTTTAAAATAAAACTCACCGATTTCCCTCCATATACAAACACAGCCAAGAAGCATTCTTTGCGTGAGAACTAGCAAACATTTCTCAATTTCTCCTCAAGTTAAGTTCCTTAATCAATTTCGGTCTCTTATTTCTTATATTTAAAAAATATTCGTTAAGTTTCACATCCTCACATTGCTTCGTGTGATTATGATGTATGACATTTTTTTCTAGTTTTTAATTAAAGTACATTATATTTTATATAATATCAATGTCCTATCATTTTTGTCCTACTTTATTTTGGTTTGAGATTGATAAATATGGAAGTTAGGGTGAGTTTGATAATTTGAGAGTTAGGGTTTATGTCTAGTATGAAGTCTGGTGTGAACTATACTCTCAGAATTTAGATCGGACTTAATTCATTTTTACGAAACCGACTTATAAGGTGAGAATTATCTAAACTTTATAAACACTACACAAACTAAATCACTAAGAAATGTGAGAGTAAATTCACCCCTTCAAATCCAACACATTATAGGTGTTTAAAGCTATAATGAAGACAAATCAAATACTTCAATTAGGTGATTAGAGGTGGACTGCAATGAAGGAGGAATTTTCAACACCTCCTCACACTCAAGTTTCAATGAGCTTAAAGAGTGAACAGTGTGGGAAGCTCGACTAGGAGCGGACCACAATGAAGGCAAAATTGTCACTACACCCTTTGACGCTCAGATCCCAACGGGCCTGAAGAGTGAATGATGTGCAAAGCCCAACAATTAATCTATAATAGGCTCGGATACCATCTTAGAATTTAGGTGAGGACCAATTCATCCCTTAAAAACTGACTTGTAAGGGGAAGACTGTCCAAACATTATAAATACTACACAAGCCACGCCTCTAAGCAACATGGAACTAAATCCACCCTTTCAAACACAACACAATATATGTGTTAGAGGCTGAAAGAAGACAAATAAAATGTTGTAATTAGGAGACTATGGCATACCACAATGAAGGTGATCTTTTCAACATATATAGATATCAAACTTCAAATACTTCATACGAAGATCAAAGTCTGGATAATATACTTGGTCTTTAATTCAGTTATGTTTCTTTAATTCAGTTCTATTTTGGGGAGGAAATTGATATTAGTTTGAATTCAAGTGTGTATATTTATGACTACGACAATATTTGTATTTTGTGATTGTCTTTATGCATATAGACAAGAAGGATACTGTTACAGGAAAACTTTATTAATAATTGTGGTTTGTGAATTATTAGAATGTTTGTTGTATTGCATATGTTTGTAGCGTAAATTTTGAATGTCAACTATTGAATGTTGGTATAAGAAATATATTTAAAAAAATTATGTTTATCATGTGCTTTAAAATCATTATGTTTAGGTTATAACTCATGTGATTGTTTTTTGATATGTTTATTATTATGACTACCTTGCTTGTGTGATTATAGAAAAATTACTGGAAAATAATTAAGGTACATGCATGGTCAGTTATCTCAACATGCTTCAGGACATAGGGAGAAAACTAAATTTTCTCGTGTAGTTGGACAATCATCAAGTTTTGTCGTGGGACCGTCGCACCATGGTCATGGATATGTGGTTTATGACAATCTGCCCATTGCTGACATATATGTTTTGGATGTTGCAATGCATGTTTATGCTACACATCTGTCACACCCTAAATTCTCTCCACCTTTTCATCTACTCCTGTCTAAGTCAATGGCTTGAGATTTCATTTGAGTCATGGGTCTATAGGTCTTGTTCTGGTATGTTTCTTTGTATTTGTATAAGTCAAGTTTATCTGATGCATTTGTCTGAGTTATTTCATGGCATCCGAGTCAGTCCATTTCATTAAAGTCTTGGTCTATAGGTCATTATGATTTCATCTGAAACATGTGCCTTTATTTGATCCATTACAGGTGTTTGAACCATTTCATTTTATCTGAAGGGGGATAGTGTAAAAATATTAAAATAGTACAAATTAACATCATTTCTACTACATTGTGAAAGAGGACAAAAAGACTGTTGTCAGTACCATGTTTTTCAATACGTCTCATCCTCACCTTCCATTATGCTTCTACCATTACTCTACTACTGTACCACTCAACATCTTCAAGCAAGTGATAGATTATGAAATTCCAACTTCATCCTCTAACAGATCTATTCTCATCTATATAAAGGAGTGTTTGAAGCTATTGAAAAGAACAACGAATGACAACGAATATATATAAAAAGAAAAAAATAGAAACCAGAGAGAAACACTAAGTCGAATATCAACACAAAGTATAAAGTTGTTATTATTTTGAAAGCTTTATAACTTTCATTCTTTGTAAATTATGTTGTATTGAAATTATGTGTATCAGCTTTTTAAGAAGCACTTTGTAAAAACAAAACTTTGTAACTTAACCAGGTTGGTTAATATCTTTGAGGGACTAAATGTTTAATCAGGATCTTCGAGAAGACTTATACAAGTAGTCTTTGTGGTTGTAATCAAAGGGTATTTGATTAATGGATTAAGTCCTTATTGATAAGGAAAAATCACCTAGGAAGGGTGGACTGAAGGTAGCCTAGTTAACGATGAACCAGGACAAATTTTTATGTTATTTATCTTTGTTGTTATTGTGCTATTTGAGCTTGGATGTTCGAAAAAGGTTTAAATCTAGAAACTCAATTCAACCACCCCTTTCTTGTGTTTATGTGAACCTTAAATTGGCAGCAGAGCTCTGGTTCTGGTATTGATTATCAAAACACTTAACCGTGTCAGATAAAGATCTCGTACTTGAAACGCGATGGCAGAAGTTCCACTTGCAAATACCAACAATGATAAAAATCATTTTGTTGCTAAACCAATCTTTGATGGTGAAAAGTTTGATTATTAGAAGTATAGAATCAAAAGTTTCTTCCTTGGTTTTGATGCTGATCTATGAAATATGATAACAGATGGTTGCACATATATTGTGAATGCCAATGGTGTCAAACTTGAAAGGAGTACTATGAATGACCAACAGAAAATAGACAACAAAAATCATCACAGATCAAGAACCATTATGTTAAACACCTTCTCATACACTGAATATAAAAAGATAATAAATAGAGACTCTACGAAGTCTATATTTGATTATCTTAGAATGACTCGTGATGGAAATGTGCAAGTCAAAGAAACCAAGGCTTTGGCCTTGATTCAGAAGTATAAATCCTTAAAGATGGAAGATGATGAAACTATTGAGAATATGTTCTCAAGGTTTCAAACTATGATAGCATGACTGAAAATCCTAGACAAAATCTATACTATTGTAGATCATGTAAAGAAAATCATCAAAAGTATTCTAAAGAAGTGGAGGTTTATGGTGTATGTGCTAAAGGTTCAAAGAATCTTAACAATACAACTCTGGAAGAACTTATGAGTTCTTTAAAGAGTTATGAAATAGAGCTTGACAAAGATGAGTCTTTGAAGAAGGAAAATCTGGTGCTCTAAAATCCAAAAGCAAGTCTGAAAAGACTAAAGCTTTTCAAGCTAAAGAAGAAGAATAAGAAGAAGTGTCTCTATTGTCCAAAAGAATTAATAAACTCTACAAGTAAAGATAAAAGAGGTTTAGAGGCTACAAAAGATCTGGTGGAAGTTCTGAGCCAACATTTGGGCAGAAGAAATCTAGAGCTAAAAGAGAGAATACTTACTTCAAATGCAAAGAGCCTGGCTGCTCCCAGAAAGTGTGTCCCAGATTCAATAGAGAAAGACCAAAGAAGAAGTTTTTCAAAGATAAGAAGAAAGGTATGATGACAACTTTGGATGACTCTGACTCTTTAGATGATGACTCTGAAGAAGAGAAAGCTAACATGGCGAAGACAAAAGCAAGCACCTCCGAGCCAGAAACAGAATTTGACTCTGAAGAGGCATTTTCTCGTTTATCTCACTCTGAATTTGAAACTTCTCTAGCACCCCA